TCAGCTGCTGCTGCTGCTGTACCACCGTCAGCTGCTGCTGCTGCTGCTGTAGTACCGTCTGCTGCTGCTGCTGCTGTAGCATCGTCTGCTGCTGCTGTAGCACTGTCAGCTGCTGCTGCTGCTGTACCACCGTCAGCTGCTGCTGCTGTTGTAGTACCGTCTGCTGCTGCTGTAGCATTGTCTGCTGCTGCTGTAGCACTGTCAGCTGCTGGTGCTGCTGTAGCACTGTCAGCTGCGCTGCTGCTGCTGTAGCACTGTCAGCTGCTGGTGCTGTAGCACTGTCAGCTGTTGCTGCTGCTGTAGCACTGTCAGCTGCTGCTGCTGCTGTAGCACTGTCAGCTGCTGCTGCTGCTGTAGCACTGTCAGCTGCTGCTGCTGCTGTAGCACTGTCAGCTGCTGCTGCTGCTGTAGCACTGTCTGCGTAGCTGCATGCTGCTGTCTGTGCACTGTCAGCTGCTGCTGCTGCTGCTGTAGCACTGTCAGCTGCTGCTGCTGCTGCTGTAGCACTGTCAGCTGCTGCTGCTGCTGTAGCACTGTCAGCTGCTGCTGCTGCTGTAGCACTGTCAGCTGCTGCTGCTGCTGTACCACCGTCAGCTGCTGCTGCTGCTGTACCACCGTCAGCTGCTGCTGCTGCTGTACCACCGCCCAGCTGCTGCTGCTGCTGCTGTAGTACCGTCCTGCTGCTCCTCCCTTGCTGTAGCACTGTCACTGCTGCTGGCTGTAGCACCTGTCAGCTGCTGGTGCTGCTGTAGCACTGTCAGCTGCTTGCTGCTGCTGTACACCGTCAGCTGCTGCTGCTGCGTAGTACCGATCTGCTGCTGCTGTAGCATCGTGCTGCTGCTGTAGCATCGTCTGCTGCTGCTGTAGCATCGTCTGCTGCTGCTGTAGCACTGTCTGCTGCTGCTGTAGCACTGTCAGCTGCTGCTGCTGTAGCAGTCAGCTGCTGCTGCTGCTGCTGTAGCACTGTCAGCTGCTGCTGCTGTAGCACCGTTGTTGGTGTGGCTTATTGAGAATATCAAGAAACAATTAACCCCAGAGAATTTGCCACCCAGGATAACCCAAAAAAATGTGTCATCGAAGACTGTCTAACTTATTTCCATTGGGGTCCTTAATCTTGTCTCCCAGGATGCAACCCACACCAGTCGACTAACACCCAGGATGCAACCCACACCAGTCGACTAACACCCAGGTGAACAGGGAAAAATGCCTGGAACTAGTGCTCACATTGGTGAATTTAAAGCCAGCAAAGGTTGGTTTGAGAGATTTAAGAATCGCTGTTGCTGGATCAGTCAGCTATTGCTAGATCAGTCAGCTGTTGCTGGATCAGTCAGCTGTTGCTGGATCAGTCAGCTGTTGCTGGACCAGTCAGCTGTTGCTGGACCAGTCAGCTGTTGCTGGACCAGTCAGCTGTTGCTGGATCAGTCAGCTGTTGCTGGATCAGTCAGCTGTTACTGGATCAGTCAGCTGTTACTGGATCAGTCAGCTGTTGCTGGACCAGTCAGCTGTTGCTGGACCAGTCAGCTGTTGCTGGACCAGTCAGCTGTTGCTGGACCAGTCAGCTTTTTGCTGGACCAGTCAGCTGTTGCTGGACCAGTCAGCTGTTGCTGGACCAGTCAGCTGTTGCTGGACCAGTCAGCTGTTGCTGGACCAGTCAGCTGTTGCTGGACCAGTCAGCTGTTGCTGGACGAGTCAGCTGTTGCTGGACCAGTCAGCTGCTGCTGGACCAGTCAGCTGCTGCTGCACCACGGTCAGCTGCTGTTGCACCATCAGCCGTCTCTGAACATGACTCGTCCTGAACCTGTCCGTCCAGCCTGAGCGCCTTGCCGTCAGTGTTTACCAGCCAGGGAGGGTGGCCGGTTGCATGCATACATTCCATACATTTTGTATTATTCCATTATTTATAGTGCTTGTAACTGGTAAATAAGCCACCATGGGCCCAAAGAAAGCTTCTAGTGCCAACCCTGTGGTAAAAAGGGTGATAAATACTATCGTACCACAGTCAGCTGCTGCTGCACCATGGTCAGCTGCACCACAGCTGCTGCTACACCACAGCTGCTGCTGCACCATGGTCAGCTGCACCACAGCTGCTGCTACACCACAGCTGCTGCTGCACCATGGTCAGCTGCACCACAGCTGCTGCTACACCACAGCTGCTGCTGCACCATGGTCAGCTGCACCACAGCTGCTGCTACACCACAGCTGCTGCTGCACCACAGCTGCTGCTGCACCACAGCTGCTGCTGCACCACAGCTGCACCCAGCTGCTGCTGCACCATGGTCAGCTGCACCACAGCTGCTGCTACACCACAGCTGCTGCTGCACCACAGCTGCTGCTGCACCACAGCTGCACCCAGCTGCTGCTGCACCATGGTCAGCTGCACCACAGCTGCTGCTGCACCACAGCTGCACCCAGCTGCTGCTGCACCATGGTCAGCTGCACCACAGCTGCTGCTGCACCACAGCTGCACCCACTGCTGCTGCACCATGGTCAGCTGCACCACAGCTGCTGCTGCACCACAGCTGCACCACAGCTGCACCACAGCTGCTGCTGCACCACAGCTGCTACACCACAGCTGCAGCTGCACCATGGTCAGCTGCACCACAGCTGTTGTTGTTGCTGCACCACCATCAGCTGTATTACTCGAAGATGTGGAGAGAGTGTTGTTGGTGTGGCTTAACGTGAAACAATTACCGAGAAACAATTAACCCCGGAGGGTTAGCCACCCAGGATAACCCAAGAAAGTCAGTGCGTCATCGAGGACTGTCTAACTTATTTCCATTGTGGTCCTTAATCTTGTCCCCCAGGATGCCACCCACACCAGTCCACTAACACCCAGGATGCCACCCACACCAGTCCACTAACACCCAGGATGCCACCCACACCAGTCCACTAACACCCAGGATGTGACCCACACCAGTCTACTAACACCCAGGATGCCACCCACACCAGTCCACTAACACCCAGGATGTGACCCACACCAGTCTACTAACACCCAGGATGCCACCCACACCAGTCGACTAACACCCAGGATGCCACCCACACCAGTCCACTAACACCCAGGATGCCACCCACACCAGTCAACTAACACCCAGGATGCAACCCACACCAGTCGACTAACACCCAGGATGCAACCCACACCAGTCGACTAACACCCAGGATGCAACCCACACCAGTCGACTAACACCCAGGTGAACAGGGAAAAATGCCTGGAACTAGTGCTCATATTGGTGAATTTAAAGCCAGCAAAGGTTGGTTTGAGAGATTTAAGAATCGTAGTGGCATACACAGTGTGATAAGGCATGTTCTGGAAGAAAATGCCAAACAGGACCTACAGTACTCAGGAGGAAAAGGCACTCCCAGGACACAGTGTCTCATCAGTCATTGCTGCATCTTCAATAAAGGTAAGTGTCATTTATTCTTCATTTAGTAGACTAGTACATGCACAATATATACTGTGCATGTACTACTCTACTATTGTGCATGTATCCTTCTCGTTGTGTGTAGGAAAATGTATATTTCATGTGGTACTTACATAATTTTTTGAGTTTTGAGCTGTTCGTATCCCGAGGTACCACAGTATTTGTAATCATAATTTATGAACTTTCAATGAACACTCTTATATAGGTTGCGTAACATACGTGAACCACGCACAGAAACTTGCGTTAAATTTTTTTTTTTCATACTTTTGGGTGTCTTGCACAGATTAATTTGATTTCCATTATTTCTTATGGGGAAAATTCATTCGCATAACGATAATTTCGCATAACAATGAGCTCTCATGCACGGATTAATATCGTTATGCGGGGGTCCACTGTATTTTAATGTGAAGGCTGGAATAATAGAACTTTTTATCATTTTAACTCGATGGTTGTCATCCATCAAGGTAGGGGTGACCCCCAGAGAAGAAAACATTTCACCATCATTCATTCAATCGCTGTGTTTCCGGAAGTGTGCTGAGTAGGGGTTTGCCTCAGTATCTGTGGGTATCAGATAATTTTAATAGTATCAGCATAGCCCTAAAATCAAGTATGTATAGGCATTTCTATCAGCGAAAATATTGGTATCCCATCGTTAGTAGTGACATCGCATTTCAGATTACTCCCTGTACACTCGCTGTACTTCCCATTTCCACTACTCCCTCTACTTACTATTACCACCGCTGCTGCTGCTGCCATCGCTGCTGCCGCCACCATCCACTACCACCACCACCACTACTACTACTGCTACTACTACTGGCATTACCTCCACCACTACGTTTCCACTTCTGCCTTCTGATCTTTTTCCCATCCCTGTCCTCCTACATATATGCTGGCTCTCACATCTTTGTGTGTTAGCATGACTTGTAAATGCTCCTGGTCAGACCGAACTATTGTCATAAGCACCTATTCCCTATGTGCAGGTCATTTGTGTATTCTAGGACTCGTCTGGGTAACCATTTTCCCAAAATCTCTTGTATGTTATCCACACACACTCCAACAACACCTCCACAAAAAAAATCACTTGCTTCTGCTCCTAACACTCACATTACGCTTCTGGATGTTCAAAACCTTTGTACTCAGTCTCCTTAACCCCCCTCCCTTCCAACCCTTCCTGGGGTGACCCTTACTCCTGTCTTCCACCCCAAATTGATACACCTTCTTCATCAACTTATTCGGTTTCATTCTCTCTACATGGCCAAACCACTTCAGCAACCACTCCTCAGCCCTCTGAATTAATACCCTTGGTCACCCCTCATTGCCTTTTAATTTCTACATTCCAAATTCTCTGCAAAATATTGACATCACACATTGTTCTCAAAGATGGCATCTCCACTGCCTCCATCTCCACTATCCCCAGCCTCTTCCTTGCTACAATGTTTAAAATCTCACATTGGTACCTATGAATAAAAATTACAATTAATAATAATTATCATCATGTGCAGTGTTAATGTTAGAATTACTTATAAAATGCAGTAGTGTTTAATACATTACAGTGTTGTATTTCATGACACACCTTTACAGTTTTGCAGTATGGCTTTGTGACCATTTTCGTCTCATCATTCCCTCTGGCTCCTCTGTTCGCCTTCCTCAACAACGTTTTCGAGATGCGTCTCGATGCCAAGAAGCTGCTGACGCACTTCCGTCGTCCCATATCTCAGCGGGTGAAGGACATTGGCATCTGGTTCAAGATTCTTGACTCCATTGGTAAACTGGCAGTCATAACCAATGTTAGTTCCCATTTTTGTTCTTCTCTCTTGTTTGTGTATGTTACTTATGCAGGGAGAGTAGACAAAACACTTAAACAGGATGCATTCTGTATTGTGCATTTGTTGACTTTATGTAGAGAAGGTAGACAGACACACTAGACACAGACAGTTCTGTGTTGTGACTTGAGTAGACAATGTAGACAGTCACTTTACACTTCAAGTAGGGGAAAGCCAGGTTGACAGACTTAACTAGACATTTGCCAGGACAAGCTCTAGAGAAAATCAGACATGGACTTGACCAAACACTGAACACCAAAGTTACAGGCATCAAGAAACATCTCTTCAGTATAAGAGCAATAAGTGGAACATGTCTAAAATAAAAAAAATGTCTAAAAATGGAAAATGTCTAAAAGTGAAAAATGTCTAAAATTGGAACATATTATTTCTGCCCAGGAGAAATCGTCCTTGACTTTTTTCTACAACTACACATGTTCAGCAGTATGAGTAAGAAATTATATAAAATACTGACAGAAGAGAAATAAGACACATGAGCATTGCCGGGATAGGAAACAATTCGATGTGAATGATTTCTTGAGTCCATCTAAGAGTGGAACAGGTATAAATATGTAAGCAACAGAACTGGCTGGGGTCCAGGCCAAGCTGCCAGATGTGGAAAAAACTGAAAACTGGTCACAGGTATGGCTTTGATGTGAAAAACACTCAAAACTGGTCACAGGTATGGCTTTGATGTGAAAATCTCTTGAAACTGGTCACAGGTATGGCTTTGATGTGAAAAACACTCAAAATTGGTCACAGGTATGGCTTTGATGTGAAAACCTCTTGAAACTGGTCACAGGTATGGCTTTGATGTGAAAAACTCTTGAAACCAGTCACAGGTATGGCTTTGATGTGAAAAACACTCAAAATTGGTCACAGGTATGGCTTTGATGTGAAAACCTCTTGAAACTGGTCACAGGTATGGCTTTGATGTGAAAAACTCTTGAAACCTGTCACAAATTATGAAGCAGGCCCGTGAGCTTCAGCCCACCCTTAAAATTTTTAAATGGGTACTGTAATGTAATAAATATACACTCTACTGTCATAACTAATAGATACTCGTGTAAATCAAGGAACAGGTGGGGTTTGACCCTATGGCAAGTGAGTCCTTAAACTCTCAGTAGAGTGTGTTAACCACTGAACCAGCTGGCTACAATGAATAAGTCAATTCTGACTCTCTTTGGGTTATTCTGGTAGGTAATTTACAACCGTTACTATGTACAATAATTCTTCTTCTTTCAACAAACTGGCCGTATCGCACCAAGGCAGGGTGGCCCAAAAAGAAAAACAAAAGTTTCTCTTTTTTAACTTCAGTTATGTGTACAGGAGAAGGGGTTACTAGCCCCTTGCTCCCCATGTGTTAGTTGCCTCTTACAACATGCATGACTTACAGAGGAAGGATTCTGTTTCACTTTCCCAAGGAGATAGGAAATGAACAAGAACTAGTAAGAAAATGGAGAACCCAGAGGGGCGTGTATATATATACTTTACATGCATGTGTAGTGTGACCCAAGTGTAAGTAGAAGTAGCAAGATGTACCTGAAAGACACCAGCAATCCTAACATCATGTAAAATAATTACAGACTTGCATTTTACACTTAGCAGGATGGTAGTACCTCCCTGGGTGGTTGCTGTCTACCAACCTACTACCACAGGACAGTAGTACCTCCCTGGGTGGTTGCTGTCTACCAACCTACTACCACAGGACAGTAGTACCTCCCTGGGTGGTTGCTGTCTACCAACCTACTACCACAGGACAGTAGTACCTCCCTGGGTGGTTGCTGTCTACCAACCTACTACCACAGGACAGTAGTACCTCCCTGGGTGGTTGCTGCCTACCAACCTACTACCACAGGACAGTAGTACCTCCCTGGGCAGTTGCTGTCTACCAACCTACTACCACAGGATGGTAGTACCTCCCTGGGCAGTTGCTGTCTACCAACCTACTACCACAGGATGGTAGTACCTCCCTGGGCAGTTGCTGTCTACCAAACTACTACCACAGGATGGTAGTACCTCCCTGGGCAGTTGCTGTCTTCCAACCTACTACCACAGGATGGTAGTACCTCCCTGGGCAGTTGCTGTCTACCAAACTACTACCACAAGATGGTAGTACCTCCCTGGGCAGTTGCTGTCTTCCAACCTACTACCACAGGATGGTAGTACCTCCCTGGGCAGTTGCTTTCTACCAACCTACTACCACAGGATGGTAGTACCTCCCTGGGCAGTTGCTGTCTACCAGCCTACTACCTAGGTGTACAATAATTGTAGTCTCCTAACTTTGTATGCCTATACCCAAATAAACTTTCAATATTTATCCAACTAAGAATATTTCTGTGCACCATAGGATGGTTAGCATGGGTCACCACTGTAACCACAAATGATGGCTTTAACAGTTGAATGCTACACCAGCGTGGGTGTGTCGTACTCTAGCTCGGATCCCTCTTGGGATCCTCTCCAAGATACGATACTACGTGCCACAAAATGCCCTTCTCACACTATACCACTCACTTATTTATCCATACCTCACCTGTGCTATTTGTGCTTGGGGATCAACTGCAGCAACACACCTAAAGCCAATAATAACCCAACAAAAAGCCGCAGTAAGAATAATCACTAAATCCCATCCCTGGCAACACACCCCCCCCACTCTTCATAGATCTAAACTTACTCCCTGTTCAGTACATCCACACTTACTACTGTGCAATCTACATCTACAGGACCTTAAATTTTAATATTAACCTTGACCTAAAACGCTTTCTTGATAGTTGTGACAGAACCCACAGGCATAACACCAGACACAAACATCTCTGACATTCCCCGTGTCCGACTAAACCTTTACAAAAATTCAATGTATGTCAAAGGCCCTGAAATCTGGAACACCCTACCTGAAAACTCTAGAACTGCAGACACATTCATCACTTTCAAAACTACCATTAGAAAACATCTTATCTCCCTGATACACCCCGTCAACTAACTACACGAATACCACCTGGTGGTTCACACTTACACTCACTCACCCATTTGTCCATAAACAGAAATATTAATCTCAATCTTAAAATAATGAATCCAATCCAAACTAGTCATAAGTTGGCCTGTGATACTCCAATACTGAAACTATGTACTGTGCCAAAACAAAAGCATTCACATTGCTAAACTCACAAACTAGTATTTAGTCACTTAGCCATAATACCAACTTACCTCATAATTTGTAATATTTTAAAATTAAGAATTAAACTAAGACTCCCGGAAATGCCTAGCCATACTAGGTGTTCTAGTGGTACACTCTGTAATTATTATTTTACTACATGTAAACCACACAATAACCAAATTCTGTATACTCAGCATTGTAATCCTTATAGAGAATAAACTTTGAATTTGAATTTGAAAAGCTGCCATCATGACTCGTGGAATCACAATAACACAATTGTAAACAAATCATGGAACGGGTGGATTTGAACCCATGGTGAGTGAGGCGTAAAACTCCAAGCCCATGTTAACCTGCCTATGGTGTATAAATATACCCAGTTGGATGAATGTTGTTATAGCCAGCTGGCCCGGTGACTTAGTTACTGACGTGGAGTTTTACCACTCACTTGGCGTGGGGTCTAACCCCGCCCATACTGTCGTGGGGTCTAACCCCACCCATACTGTGAAAAGTTGAACAATACGTAATAATAGTAATGTGGTGTTCTCAGGCATTCATCATCGCCTTCACGTCTAATTTCATCCCGGAGCTTGTATATCGTCACGTGGTGTCCACGCACAACTCTCTTGAAGGCTTCCTCGAACACTCCCTCGCTTCCTTCAATGTCAGTGACTACCCGGAGATGTACAAGCCAAGATTCAACAGCACTACAAATATATGCAGGTCAGTTGAGCTATGTGTGGAGCTCTTCTAACTTTCTAACTTAGTTATCTTATAAAGATCTAGTGTTTTTTTTTTTTTATATACAGTGTATAACGCACAGGCTGTCTCCCACCGAGACAGGGTGACCCAAAAGAAAAGATCCCTGTAAAGTATTCTTTTTTTTTATTTTTTTTTTTTATTATTATCACAGTGGCCGATTCCCACCAAGGCAGGGTGACCCGAAAAAGAAAAACTTTCACCATCATTCACTCCATCACTGTCTTGCCAGAAGGGTGCTTTACACTACAGTTTTTAAACTGCAACATTAACACCCCTCCTTCAGAGTGCAGGCACTGTACTTCCCATCTCCAGGACTCAAGTCCGGCCTGCCGGTTTCTCTGAACCCCTTCATAAATGTTACTTTGCTCACACTCCACCAGCACGTCAAGTATTAAAAGCCATTCGTCTCCATTCACTCCTATCAAACACGCTCACGCACGCCTGCTGGAAGTCCAAGCCCCTCGCACACAAAACCTCCTTTACCCCCTCCCTCCAACCTTTCCTAGGCTGACCCCTACCCCGCCTTCCTTCCACTACAGACTGATACACTCTTGAAGTCATTCTGTTTCGCTCCATTCTCTCTACATGTCCGAACCACCTCAACAACCCTTCCTCAGCCCTCTGGACAACAGTTTTGGTAATCCCGCACCTCCTCCTAACTTCCAAACTACGAATTCTCTGCATTATATTCACACCACACGTTGCCCTCAGACATGACATCTCCACTGCCTCCAGCCTTCTCCTCGCTGCAACATTCATCACCCATGCTTCACACTCATATAAGAGTGTTGGTAAAACTATACTCTCATACATTCCCCTCTTTGCCTCCAAGGACAAAGTTCTTTGTCTCCACAGACTCCTAAGTGCACCACTCGCCCTTTTCCCCTCATCAATTCTATGATTCACCTCATCCTTCATAGATCCCTCCGCTGACACGTCCACTCCCAAATATCTGAATACATTCACCTCCTCCATACTCTCTCCCTCCAATCTGATATCCAATCTTTCATCGCCTAATATTTTTGTTATCCTCATAACCTTACTCTTTCCTGTATTCACTTTTAATTTTCTTCTTTTGCACACCCTACCAAATTCATCCACCAATCTCTGCAACTTCTCTTCAGAATCTCCCAAGAGGACAGTGTCATCAGCAAAGAGCAACTGTGACAACTCCCACTTTGTGTGATTCATTATCTTTTAACTCCACGCCTCTTGTCAAGACCCTCGCATTTACTTCTCTTAAAACCCCATCTATAAGAACAACCACGGTGACATCACACATCCTTGTCTAAGGCCTACTTTTACTGGGAAAAAATTTCCCTCTTTCCTACATACTCTAACTTGAGCCTCACTATCCTCGTAAAAACTCTTCACTGCTTTCAGTAACCTACCTCCTACACTATACACCTGCAACATCTGCCACATTGCCCCCCTATCCACCCTGTTATATGCCTTTTCCAAATCCACAAATGCCACAAAGACCTCTATTTTTATATTTACCAATAATACGCCTTGCTCCCAGCAATTTAGTGGCCTCTTACGGCATACACGGCTTTTAAGAAATATACATCCAAAATTGAATAACAGGTATTAAGGTCTCCTTAATATATCTATTCAGTGTTGTGTGCACTTTCTCTGTGTGCTTGTATATAAAAGTTTTCTAAGAAAGTTTACTGTACTAGTATCATACGTTCTGTTTACAAAACTCACATTATAGAAGAGCTTTTTAAAAGAGTTTACTGTACTAGTATCATACATTGCATTTACAAAAGTCACATTACAGCCTCTCCTCACTTAATGACCTACTCGTTTACCGAACTTACGACCCGCTCTCCAACCAGTATGCAAACCTAATAATATATATTAGAGCTGATTTCCTGTATACCATTTATTACAGTATATAGTACACTACAGTATAAACATTTAAAAATATACTAGAAATATTATAAATGGTACAAAAGTGACATTAAAAAAATATCTAAAGATGGTTGACACAAACCCACTACCAGTATAGTATGCTCCTCACTTAATGACCAGTTCATTTACCGACCTACTCTTAGGAACAGAACTCGGCGGTCGCTAAGTGAGGAGAGGCTGTAAATAGAGCAACTTTCTAAGAAATAAGCCACTAACCTTTTTGGGGGGTTATCTTGGTGGGTAATTTATACACACGTTCCTGGGTATGATAATTGTACTTACATGTTCCTGCACCCTGAGGGAGGTACTATGATGCTGGTTAAGAACTTTTGATCAGAGAAATTATACTTTCCTTCCTCTTTCTTGAATCAAAATTGATTGCCTCCATTTTCCCAAGTGCTGTATACTCCATAGGAATAGCACTTCCCAGGGGTGTGTGGAGATGAATGATTTTTTGGGATTTGACGAGCTGTTGGAGTGCGAGAAGGGTAATATTTTGTGAAGGGATTCAGAGAAACCGGTTAGCCAAACTTGAGTCCTGGAGGTGGGAAGCACAGTGGCTGTACTCTGAAGGACAGGTTTGGAATGTTTGCTGTAATTTAGTGACATCCAAACTGTTGTATCTGCATCCCTCTGCAAGGACTGATAGTGTGAATGATGGTGAAAGTGTGTCTATTTTGAGTCGCCCTTGTCTCGTTGGGAGATTGCCAGCGTTAAATATTAATAGTAATTCTAATGACCTCATCAGGAAATTAACCACAAACTAATTATTTTAGAACACATTTACATCTTGGTATGAGAGATGTATTGGATGTGAAAATTTAGATATCCGCGGATGTGTGTGAGGATGTCTTATTTTGCGGATGCGGATGTAAGAAATTGTGCGGGTGTTGATGTGGATGTAAGAAATTGTGCGGCTGTTGATGCGGATGTAAGAAATTGTGTGGCTGTTGATGCGGATGTAAGAAATTGTGCGGATGTTCCATGGATTTGGATGCATATGCGGATATCTGTTTACAGTAAAATGCAGATGTGGCTGTAAGAAATTGTGTGGATGTTCTGCGGATGCGGATATCCGATACATCACTACTTGGTATATATTTTGTTGCCTTGAGATGCTAATGTATATTTTGTTAGCAGTTGCAAGGGCAGTCACTACATTTTTATTTTTTATTTTGTTTTTAGCGTCATGGCCATCTCCTCCTAAGACAGGGAGAAGAAATATTACCATTATTCATTCAGTTGCTGCTGTTCTAGAAGTGGGCTAACATTACAGTCGGATTATCCTCGGAATTACAATATCCCCACTCATCCTTCAGATTACCCTCAGAATTACAACATCCGCACTCATCCTTCAGATTACCCTCGGAATTACAACATCTGCACTCATCCTTCAGATTAACCTTGGAATTACAACATCCTTACCTACTCTTCAGATTACCCTCAGAATCATAACATCCTTACTTACTCTTCAGATTACCCTCGGAATTGCAACATCCTTACTTACTCTTTAGATTACCCTCGGAATTACAACATCCTTACTCACTCTTCAGATTACCCTTGGAATTACAATATCCCTGCTCTTCAGATTACCCTTGGAATTACAACATCCTTACTTACTCTTCAGATTACCCTTGGAATTACAACATCCTTACTCACTCTTCAGATTACCCTTGGAATTACAATATCCCTACTCACTCTTCAGATTACCCTTGGAATTACAACATCCTTACTCACTCTTCAGATTACCCTTGGAATTACAACATCCTTACTTACTCTTCAGATTACCCTCGGAATTACAACATCCTTACTCACTCTTCAGATTACCCTTGGAATTACAATATCCCTACTCTTCAGATTACCCTTGGAATTACAACATCCTTACTTTTCAGATTACCCTTGGAATTACAACATCCTTACTCACTCTTCAGATTACCCTTGGAATTACAATATCCCTACTCACTCTTCAGATTACCCTTGGAATTACAACATCCTTACTCACTCTTCAGATTACCCTTGGAATTACAACATCCTTACTTACTCTTCAGATTACCCTCGGAATTACAACATCCTTACTCACTCTTCAGATTACCCTTGGAATTACAATATCCCTACTCTTCAGATTACCCTTGGAATTACAACATCCTTACTTACTCTTCAGATTACCCTCGGAATTACAACATCCTTACTCACTCTTCAGATTACCCTTGGAATTACAACATCCTTACTCTTCAGATTACCCTCGGAATTACAATATCCCTGCTCACTCTTCAGATTACCCTCGGAATTGCAACATCCTTACTCACTCTTCAGATTATCCTCGGAATTACAATATCCCTGCTCACTCTTCAGATTACCCTCGGAATTGCAACATCCTTACTCACTCTTCAGATTACCCTCGGAATTACAATATCCCTGCTCACTCTTCAGATTACCCTCGGAATTGCAACATCCTTACTCACTCTTCAGATTACCCTCGGAATTACAATATCCCTGCTCACTCTTCAGATTACCCTCGGAATTACAACATCCTTACTCACTCTTCAGATTACCCTTGGAATTACAACATCCTTACTCTTCAGATTACCCTCGGAATTACAATATCCCTGCTCACTCTTCAGATTACCCTCGGAATTGCAACATCCTTACTCACTCTTCAGATTACCCTCGGAATTACAATATCCCTGCTCACTCTTCAGATTACCCTCGGAATTGCAACATCCTTACTCACTCTTCAGATTACCCTCGGAATTACAATATCCCTGCTCACTCTTCAGATTACCCTCGGAATTGCAACATCCTTACTCACTCTTCAGATTACCCTCGGAATTACAATATCCCTGCTCACTCTTCAGATTACCCTTGGAATTACAACATCCTTACTTACTCTTCAGATTACCCTTGGAATTACAACATCCTTACTCACTCTTCAGATTACCCTCGGAATTACAATATCCCTGCTCACTCTTCAGATTACCCTCGGAATTACAATATCCCTGCTCACTCTTCAGATTACCCTCGGAATTGCAACATCCCAGCTCATCTTCATTGTTCCTCCCACCTCCAGGACTCAGTTCAGGTTAAGTGGTTTCCCTGACTCCCATCATAAAAGTTATTTTTCTTCATATATCATTATCACCAGTTTCATCCAAAGATATTAAACCACTACTGATGGAGAAACACCTGATTTGTTCTTGTCTGTCACTATTGAAAGTACAGTAGTCTCCCCTGTATCTGCTGGGGAAACATCGAAGACCTACCGTGTATAGTAGCAAACCCTATGTGTAAGTCATTTTTGTTTACATGCCTATGATAGTTTAATTGATAAATTATGGAAAATAAATCTAGAATTAGCACTTTTTCACTGTTGGGAAGCACTTCACTACCAGCATCACTACTTTTGTGTTTTGGGGCCATTATTAAGCAATATTAAGGGCCATTTTTGGACCACGGTAAACCGTGGATGACTGAAACCACAGAATTCGTGGATATGGGGGTTCCTACTGTATTGTCATGCCCTGTCGTGGTTCCACAGTTTATTTGTGGTTTACTGTGGCCCGAGAGTAACCCTCAATTTTGCTTTAGAACGACCACAAATCACAAAAGTAGTGATGGTGGCAGTTCTTCAAAGCCTAAGATAAGCCAAGAAGTGCTTCCCATCACTGAAGAAGTTATAATTCTAGACTTATTGTGATTAATTTATCAATTAAACTTTATCAAGGGTATTTATGTAAATGAAAAATGACTTGTAGATAGGATTCGCCGTTATTCCTGGTTTTGGGTATCCACAGTAGGTCTTGGAACATATCGACTGCAGATATGGGGGTACTACTGCAGTTCATTGCAAGTGTAGTCATAAGTCTGCCCAAAATGCATTACAGAATTTCTGTATGGGCTTTTCCATGCACAAAAGATTTTTTTTTTATCTACTTTGAGACTGTGGGTTCTCAGTATGCCATGGAAAGTAGACGTTACCATAAATTTTTTTCCTATCAATGCTGCTGCCACCACTATTTAATATCATATAAGCAAAAACAGATATTTACCATTACTACCTATAAATACACAAATAACCCACACATAGAAGAAAAACATCTGACTAGTTAATGGTCTAAGTGAGACCAAAACATTGTCATAAGTTTGTCTCTTATGTGTGGGTTATTTGTGTACAATAAGTCCTTGACTTACAAACACATTGAGAATCTTCTGTATTGTGTTTAATATCATTACAGTGGACCCCCGGTATTCGATGGCATCGGTATTCGATAAATCCAGTATTCGATGCATTTTAACGCAAAAATTTCGCCTCGGTATCCGATCAAAAACCTGGTATTCGATGCAATTCGTACGAGACGTGTCCACTTGTGGCCTGAACTGCCCCGTGTGTGCCAGTGTTTACAAGCCAGGCAGTGTGCGCGCATCTAAGGATACATTCCATATTATCACTGTTTTTGGTGCTTGTTTCTGCAAAATAAGTCACCATGGGCCCCAAGAAAGCTTCTAGTACCAACCCTGTGGTAAAAAGGGTGAGAATTAGTATGGAAATTAAGAAAGATTATGAAGGGAATGGGGCTAACCCTGAGAAGCCTATACCAGTTGTGGAATCCATTGTGCCTACTTCAAAAATTAAGGAAATGTGTGCAAAGTGGGTTGAACTGCAAACCTTAATGGATGAAAATCACCCTAACACAGCTATTGCAAGCCTTGCTGGTGACTATTACAATGACAATGTTGTGGCCCATTTTAGACAAATCTTAAAGGAACGGGAGGTACAGAGCTCTTTGGACAGATTTGTTGTGCGACAAAGGTCCAGTGACTCTCAAGCTGGTCCTAGTGGCATTAAAAGAAGAAGGAAAGTAACCCTGGAAATGGACTTGCTACCTCAAGTCCTAATGGAAGGGGATTCCCCTTCTAAACATTAACAACTTCGACACTCTCCCCTCCTCCCATCCCATCAATCATCACCAGATCTACATTAAAGGTAAGTGTTAATTATTCTATTGTTATTATTCTATTGTTATTATTGTTATTGTAATTATTCTATTGCATTAAACTTAATATTTCATGTGGTAAAATTTTTTTTTCATACTTTTGGGTGTCTTGCATGGATTAATTTGATTTCCATTATTTCTTATGGGGAAAATTGATTCGGTTTTCGATATTTTCGGTATTCATTGAGCTCTCAGGAACGGATTAATATCGAATACCAGCGGTCCACTGTATTATATCGTTATTGTGTATAATATAATTATTATACATGCATTATTATACACAATGCAGAAGGTCCCCAATGTGTTCTTAAGTTGAAGACTGCCTCTATTATGTATACACAAATAACCCGCACATAAAAGAGAGAAGCTTACGACGACGTTTCGGTCCGACTTAGACCATTGACAAAGTCACACTAACAGAGGTGGAGCAGGACGGCTATATATAGGCAGGAAGAGGTGGTAGTAGTAGTAGTAGTAGTAGTAGTACAAGAATTGTATATAATACCGACAGGATGAAATTAAGACACATATATACAATTCTTGTACTACTACTACTACTACCACCTCTTCCTGCCTATATATAGCCGTCCTGCTCCACCTCTGTTAGTGTGACTTCGTCAATGGTCCAAGTCGGACCGAAACGTCGTCATAAGCTTCTCTCTTTTATGTGCGGGTTATTTGTGTATTGTTCCAGTCACAGTATTGTGCCTTTTTGTTATCTATTATGTATATTATGCACTATTCAGGAGGTTCCCAATATGTTCATAAGTTGAGGACTATCTGTATTGTTCCAGTCACGGTATTGTGACTTTTTATAGTTTACCTAATAAGTGTTTTTCGTGTGTTTCAGGTATCCTGACTACCGCAACCCACCAGGAACCTTCGAAGAGTACAAATATGCTCCCATATTCTGGCACATTCTTGCTGCCAGGCTTGCCTTTGTTGTTGTGTTTGAGGTAAGACCCAACATTACTACAACTGTAGTGCCCATTTGTGTTTGAAGTTAATACAGTGTTTTACTCTGCTTGTTATAACTAAAAATATACAGTGGAACCTTGGTATACGACCAGCTCCCTACTCGAACAAAGCTCGGCACTTGACCAAACAAATACGACCTGCCAGAACGTTGCTGTAAACTATTTCGTGTTTCTTCACATTTTTTGGTGTTTTTTGTATTGTATAAATAAGTTACCATGGGGCCTACAACGACTAGTGATAACAGCCAACCAAACAGAAAATTGGTTGGGAAGAACTTGTTCGATACCCAAACGGAGCGGCACTCAAACACCCGTCTGGAATGAATTAAGGTTGCATACCGAGGATCCACTGTACTAGATCTACAGTGACCATTTGTGTTTGTGGTTTAAGTTAACACAGTTTGTAGATGAATGGTTCAGAGAACCGTCATGTTGATAAATTAGACACATGTGCAACTCTTGGGTATCTTTATTGAGGAATTCCTAAGTAGAATACTTAGGAATTCTTCACTTGCCTAATTCTTGGGCACGACCTACTTCCACATTGAACAAATGTGACACCACCTATGACTGCTGCACCTCTCCTGCCATACGGTTTATAAGCTGCTTCTCAGCTCATCTGCCGTATTCTACTCAAGATTGATGGACTGAACACATCGACTCAAGGTTGAGGGACTGATTACCTCATTCTCCTCCTGTTCTTCAAGTTTCTCCTACGTATGGACTGATGAAGCCACTGTGTGGCGAAACGTTTCCTCAATAAAGATACCCAAGAGTTGCACATGTGTCTAATTTATCAAGTTAACACAGTACTTTAATGTGCTTGGTATAACTAAGAATATACAGTTATAGAACTGCAGTGACACTGTTTTATGAAGAACTGAATATAATACTTGAATGTATTTTGTGGTGTGTATTTACTCTACAGTGATTGGTTGTTTTTCTGGGAAAAATTAACAGAGTACAGTGGACCCCCGCTTAACGATCACCTCCCAATGCGACCAATTATGTAAGTGTATTTATGTAAGTGCGTTTGTACGTGTATGTTTGGGGTTCTGAAATGGACTAATCTACTTCACAATATTCCTTATGGGAATAAATTCGGTCAGTACTGGCACCTGAACATACTTCTGGAATGAAAAAATATCGTTAACCGGGGGTCCACTGTACTTTAGTTTACTATGTATAACTAAAAGTGTACTAGAACTGCCATGACTGGTTGTGTTTGTGACGGACCCTTTCAAGGTGCAAGAATTTAAAAAAAAAATTATTTTTTTTCTTATGAAATGGTAGAGAATCTTTTTCTGAAGGTAATAAAACAAAAAGTACGACATCTGATGAAATTCCACTATTGCGAATTTTACTGCATCAGCGATATTTATTTATCATCGATTTTGCCCACTTTGACTCCTATTTTAGGCCAGTTACTTTTACTGCAGTCGACCAGATTCTTAGCTATTTTGCTAACATTACTTCTGTTTTATCAATTGAGCACAAGAAACTGCCTAATCAACTATTTCAACTTCCCATTAAAGTGATCAGAATTTGGTAATTTGGCCAATTTCACACAAAGTTCAAAATATTCCAATTTCAAAATAGGGGCCAGAATAAACAATGAATTTTTATTCACACCAAAAAATAGAAGATTTTACTGTTATGCAATATTATAATAATTGTATAAATAATATTAGCGCATTTATGAATGTATATTAGACCCACCAGCTGATGTGTATTGGACGCATAACATCATTTGCTTACTCTTGAACATCGGCAAAAATCAAACATTTCCACTACTTTGAGCTCAATTTCAAGTTATTTTGAGTACTAAAACCAATGAAAATCATCTCTATTTCTCTAATATATCTTCCATTCTATCAAATGAAACCGTGAATACAACCGTAAAAACCATACGAAAATACAGTGGACCCCCGGTTAACGAACTTTTTTCACTCCAGAAGTATGTTCAGGTGCCAGTACTGACCGAATTTGTTCCCATAAGGAATATTGTGAAGTAGATTAGTCCATTTCAGACCCCCAAACATACACGTACCAACGCACTTACATAAATACACTTACATAATTGGTCGCATTTGGAGGTGATCGTTAAGCGGGGGTCCACTGTACAATACAAATTTGCTGTTTTAATCCAGAAACACAGTCGCCGTTTTTTTTTTTCTCATTATGCACTGTGTGCTGCAGGATTTATTTTATTTGGTGCACACTTGCCTCATATATGCATTCTCTCATATCTAGGCCCAAATTTACCGCTCACAGCTTATTCGAGTGAACTGAACTCATGACGTAGAACTACGACTTGGACCCTCAAGGGTAAATTAACCCCTTCAGGGTCCAAGGCCAAAATGTGAAGTGGTGCCCCAGTGTCCAAGAATTTAAAAAAAAAATTAGTTATTTTTTCTTATGAAATGCTTGAGAATCTTTTTGTGAAGGTAATAAAACAAAAGGTACGAAATTTGATGGAAAATTGACGAAATTATGCTCTCGCGAATTTTGATGTTTCAGCGATATTTACGAATCGGCGATTTTGCCGACTTTGACTCCCATTTTAGGCCAATTACATTATTCCAGTCGACCAAATTCTTAGCTATTTCACTGGTATTATTTCTATTCTATCGATTGAGCTCAAGAAATCGCCAAGTCAACTTTTTTAACTACAAAATAGTGATCGGAAGTTGGTAATTTGGCCAATTTAACACAAAGTTCAGAATATTCCAATTTCAAAATAGGGTCCAGAATAAACAATGTAGGTATTCCTGGCACTAAACTAACATTTCCTCTGTTCATTAGTTATGTTTTGAGGCTTTACAAATAGATTCCATTTTGATTTTTTATTCACATAATGAATTTTTATTCACACCAAAAAATAGAAGATTTACTGTTATGCAATATTGTAATAATTGTATAAATATCATCACCACATTTGTGAATGTATATTAGACCCACCAGCTGACGTGTATTAGACGTGTGAGGTCGTTTGTTTACTCTTGAATATCAGCAAAAATTTAACATTTCCGCTACTTTGAGCTCAGTTTCAAGCCATTTCCAGTGCTAAAACCAATCAAAATCATCTCTATTTCTGTAATATGTCTTCCATTCTATCAAATGAGACCAAGAAATCGCAAATACAACTATAAAAAACATACGAAAAAACACTGCAAAGTCGCTGTTTTAATCGAAAATCATGGTCTCAGTTTTTTTTCTCTCATTATACACAGTGTGCTGCAGGATTTGTTTTATGTGGTGCACACATACCACATAGATGTATTCTCTCATATCTTGGCCCAAATGTACCACTCGCAGTTCATCAGAGTGAGCTGAGCTCATGACGTAGATCTATGGTTTGGACCCTGAACGTAAAGCCGTTGATTTACGGGACGGACCCTGAAAGGGTTAATACAATGCATTCATGTATATACTTTGTATACCTAAGATTATATTAGAACTGTATTGACTGGTTGTGTTTCTGGTAGAACTGGACGCAATACTTTAGTGTACTCTACTTAATTAAAAGTGCAGTGGTACCTCGGGATACGAACCTAATTAGTTTCAGAAGACTGTTTGAGTGCCAACCTGTTCGAGTACCAAACGAATTTTTTTCCCTTAAGGAATAATGTAAAGTAAATTAATCCATTTCAGACCCCCAAAAGCACTTACAAAAATACACTTACATAATTGTTCAAGTTCATATCCCGAGCTACCACTGTATATTAGAACTGCATTGATGGACAAACTCTCTACAACCACTGAAAGCAAGTACACATGGCAGGGCCAGTCCTACTTAAATCATCCTCAACAGTGTCACTGTGAGCTCCCTAATTATAATAATCTCCATGGGGAAGTTGAAAAGAATTCTTCCTCCATAAGTCATGCATGTCTTAACACTTAAACGGTCCAAATAGATCGACGTTCAAATTCGTAGCTACAAAAGTAGATCTACTTTTTTACATATTTTCAAATATAACAAAAAAAAATGTAGATAAGTTTTTTACACATTTTCAAATGTAAAGCAAGAAAGATCTACATTTTTTTACATACTTTCCGATGTTGAAAAAACGTATATATACGTTTGGACCGTTTAAGGGTTAAGAGGCAACTAAAATGCCAGGAGCAAGGGGCTATTAACCCCTTCTCTTGTTTAAATTACTAAATTTAAAAGCAGAAATTTCCGGTTTTCTTTTTAGGTCACCCTGCCTCAGTGGGATGCGGCCGGTTTGTTGATAAAAAAAAATAATGTTGAGTGCTAGACTCGTATGGGTCATTTAGTACAAGATATGGTGGAGATAGAGAAGAACTGTTCTAGGACAATAAATACTTCTTAACCCTTTCAGGGACCAGACCCCAGAGCTGTAACTTGTCTGTAGGGTCCAGGGATTTGAATAATGTTATTTTTTCTTTTGAAATGGTTGAGAATCTTTTTCTGAAGGTAATAAAACAAGAAGTACGAAATTTGATGGAAAATTGACAAAATTCTGCTCGTGAATTTGGTTGACTGGAATAATGTAATTGGCCTAATATAGGAGTCAATATATAAATAACCCGCACATAAAAGAGAGAAGCTTACGACGACGTTTCGGTCCGACTTGGACCATTTACAAAGTCACTTTGTAAATGGTCCAAGTCGAACCGAAACGTCGTCGTAAGCTTCTCTCTTTTATGTGCGGGTTATTTATGTATGAATTTATTTATGTATTTATTTATGTATGAAAGAGGGGAAGGTACCTAGGGATTGGCAGAGAGCATGTATAGTCCCTTTATATAAAGGGAAAGGGGACAAAAGAGACTGTAAAAATTATAGAGGAATAAGCTTACTGAGTATACCAGGAAAAGTGTACGGTAGGGTTATAATTGAAAGAATTAGAGGTAAGACAGAATGTAGGATTGCGGATGAGCAAGGAGGTTTTAGAGTGGGTAGGGGATGTGTAGATCAGGTGTTTACATTGAAGCATATATGTGAACAGTAT